TGTCTCGGAATAAAACGATCGAATTTGTAATGAGAAAGGTCCAAACTTTTTATTATTGATGAGATGGACATTTTTATTGAAAAAGTCGCCGGTTTGGATAATCTGAGTGAGGATGACTGCCCTGGTGAAGAGGACGCTGCAGCAGGTGCTGTGCGTCCTGCTACCGTGTGCTCTCACACTCTGCAGCGCGCCGACACAAGGAGGTGGGCAAACGCGCGCACACACACACACACACACACACACACACACACACACACACACACACACACACACACACGAATCCTCTTTTGTTTCCAAAACCATCACTTTTTACACTGAAGTATCCCAGAATAAATGTTAAATCCCAGCGAACACCTGGATTAGAGCTGTTCAGTACTGCAGGGGGTTAGAAAACACCTGTCCGTCCTCTGCCACCGCAGACACGAGAACCTGTTCCGCAAACGTAGAGCTTGTTTGCTATGAGTCACCTGCACCTCTCCCACGACTGTGTGCTTTCTCGCGTTTGTCTCATTGTTACGTCGGTATAAGGTTGGGACAGACGAGCCCAACCTTACACCGACTGTTGACTGACAACCACAGTCAGCCCAAAAGATCTCAAAACTTTACCTTTGATTTGTCATTTTCTCAGTATAATGAGATATGGAAGAAATAGTCAGATGTATTAGCTAAGTAAAAGGAGCAGTACCACAATGTGAAATGATAAATACTTAATCCTGCTTTAAGTTGTAAAAGTGCATAATGTATTAGCGATTGAATACTCATTGGAAAAATGCATCAAATCCTCCGGATAGTGTGCTAATTGGAAATATTTTGTATATTTTCTTTACAATGATAAACAGATAATCAACACAGTTACAGATTCGTTTTAGCTTCATATTTTAGTCAATAAAAATGAATGGAACGAAGTAACGAGTGCAATACTTCACTCTAAAATATAATGTATAGGAGTCAAATTAAATCTTCAAGTAGCCTTAATACTAAAATCACAAAAACACAGTGAATAAATCATGATCACATGAGAAGGGACATTTGATTGAATGGATTGTACAAAGTTACTATTGCAGTTAATATTCTCTTTAATACATACAAAATAAACCCTGTTTACTTGATGACTACTTAATGTCTTTCTAATAAAGAATTGGGAATTTCCAAAGTATGAAAGTGACATTTTCTGTCATTGGTCCTTCTCCTTAAGTAGTTGATGAACAGCATTTGTTGTGCAGTCAGACAGTTATGAAAGAGGTTGCTGTTGTTATGTTGGTGCAGGACGGTGGACCTGTATACCAACCAATGTTACCTGGCCAGCCATAATAAAATAATTCAAGATAATATAGTTTTTTAGTTCAGTGTATCTCGTCAAACTTCAAAGCCAGTTGTCATTTTAGATGCTTACTGCACTTTCATGAAAGAAGCAATTGGAGAAAACCATTTTACATATAAGAAGCATGATTTCACCCTGCAAACAAACAACACCTGTATCACTTTTGTTTTCAAAGTTTTCAGTTTTGCCAACAGGGAGGATAGGATTTTTCCACATATGTCATCATGACTTTAAGAGTCAAGTTGATGTCTCAGATGTGAGATATTTTATGTATCAGATAGGGCTTTGCTTTACAAGTGTACGATGCCTCAGTGTAACATTTGATTTACCATCAAGAAAAACAACATTGGGTGGAGCCTGTATGATTTGCTTCTGTACATTTACAGGTGTGACATCCAAATAACAGATGCGTCAAAAAGCAAATATGCTGCCGTTCCTGCTGCCAAAGAATAATGTTAAGCAACTCTCAGTCAGCGTCATTCTGATCACTGCATGCTGTGAACACACTAACAACTCTTACAGGTTGTTTTTGCACAACCATTGGCTGTAAACCAGTGAATGCTCTGCAACATGGAATAGTTCATGTGCTCAGGTGTCTGTCTTTGTGTTTGTGAGCGTGCGTGTGTGTGTGTGCGCTCTCTTGTGAGGTATGCAGTAATCTCTGGCACAGCCTGTGCCAAGTTTCTGTTTACTGCAGTCATCGTCTCAACCGCTTTATTCAGCTTGTTTATCTCCTCCTCCCTCCTTTCTTTTCTTTCTCTGCCTTTTTGAAACCCTGTTAGCAGCGAATGAACATAACAGCCTAACCTGATCTGTGTTATGTTTCGTCATGTGCTATGTGACACTTTAGTGCCAAGGACAATGAGACCATTTATGCCCTGAGTTGATGTGTTGTGAATAATATTTAGCGAATGGAATAAGTAGTGGACTCCATGGCGAGACATAGATAGAGGCTGGGTCGCACGTCTTGATTCACTACTACACTAGTTTTGCGGTCTTTCAAAATAGGGCCATTGTTTGCATGTGTGTTTATTGACTCTAAACCCTCCACCCCATTCTTTTTTTCTCCATCATCCATTTGCCAACATTGAAAGTCCTCCTTTGACAGAAAAACCCACTCAGCCTGTTGAGATGTTCGGCCTCCACAGCTGCAGCCTGTGCATTGTCTGTATGGCTGACATACCACTTTGTCTCAAACATGTGTGCACACCGGTTTGTCCCTTCTAGTGGGTTGTGCTTAAACTGTATGCATACTGTATGCATACTGTATTGGTGGAAGGTTCTTGAACATACGTGTGCAGGTGTTCATGAGTATTTCCCAACAGGCAATTCAAGCAGTGTAGAGTCAACAATTCGTCCACTGATAGATTAACTAAGGTGGGGTAGATAAAGGGCTTCACCCTTGAGCAGCTCATAAACTGTCATCATTCCAACTGAATGGCTTTTAATGAAGAATGAGACGTTTCTGAAGCATGTTAGTCATTGCAACTTGATGTGATAACCCTGACTTGTCCCGTGCTACAGCGCGCAGAAGTATAAATGTTAAAGTGTTCATGGGCTGGTTTCTTAAGGAGAGCTCCCGGGATTTCAATTGCATGAAGTTGATCGATATGCAAGAAACAGATTTAAAAACATGGTGAAACTCGATACAGCAGAGGCCTAGACATTCCAGTATGTGTGGTTCAAGCTGTACAAGAACATGACTTGAAGATACTCATTAGGGTCTCTGTTATGCTGCATATATGTTAAATATGAGTTATTTCAGAAAATCATACATTGGTAAAAGCAACAAATAATATAACAAACTAGTGCAACATTTCAGCAAAAGCAAAAATGTTTGGATGTTGCATCAAAATAGTAAATTAAGAATCTTTTAAAGATATTTTGTCTCATTAAACACAGATTAACCCTATGGTGTAGGCCTTTTTTAACTTAGCTCCCTTGTTAAACAAACTGCAGGCTCCTGTTGACTAAACTGAGTGTGTGAAATCATCGGAGATCATCTTTAAAGGGTCAATTCACCCAAATAACATATTTATTCCACTTCCCACAAACTGACACAAATCATGGACACACTATTAAAATACCTCCCTTTGAGTCTCCTGCCTCCACTCCAAAAACGCTGAAAGATTCATTTGGGCTTGTGCTGCTTAACGTCTCACAATGTCCCTAGAGTAGGAAGTTATTTCTGGAAAGAGAGTAGAATAAAACATTCTAATCACCACTTTAGTAATGAAGTGGCGGAAGGACTTTCCAAAGTTAATGAAACCAGTAATGTATAAACAAACACCTTGCGGGGGGGGGGATATGTGTTTTTGTGATTTGAGAGAAACCATCCTTGAATATGTTTTTTGGTGCAAAGCCAGTGCTTGTAAACCCGATGTTCTCAGAAACACAATAAAGCGACTCTTATCAGGACTTTATGGACATAGGACACGCTCGTTGCACCGTCTCTCCCTTAAACACACACACACACACACACACACTCAGTGCTGTAGGTTAATAATGATTAGCTTTTTTATGCCCTTGTTGATCCTGTTGTTCTTCTGAGCTCTGTATCGACTGATGACAGTTGGAGGAATGTGTTTGTGAGTGTGTCGACTTTACTTCATGCGTGTGACCTGTAAGTAAGTGTGGCTAAAAAAACATTCCTCACATCTTTACTCAACAGTAGAACAGAATAACAAGTTAACAAGACTGACTGATGCATGATGCTTGGACTAAGGTTATACTAGTTAAAACAAATAACGAAAAAGCAACAAAACTAGAGAGCGTGTCGCGATGGGATCACACCAGTTGAAACCCCAAATCGAGCCACGGGCATTAAGTTGGGAGGCTAAGACCCTTTCCCTTTTCTTTCGACCCTTCATTTTGATTTCAACTACACACAATTATGCAACTGAATGGTAAAAATGTCTTTACGGGCATGCAGATACTTTTAGTTTAATTTGCTCAGGTTTTTAGGCTAGATTAGTCTCTGAGATTCATGCCATCATACCAAGAGCTAACATAATGACACTAAACCTGTTGAGGAAATATATAAAAAAAACAATATTTTCTGGAACTTAGGTCAAACTTAAGTAAAACTAGCAAACACATTGTGAAACAAACTGAACTGAACCAAAATTCAGACAAAACGTAAAAAAAAGCAGACATATGATTGTTTGTCACAACGTGTACATTACACAAGTAATTGTTAGTATTCTCAGGCAAAGTATTGACATTTAGATTCACAGTCATGTTTAATGCTCTGCCCTCCTCTTTTCTCTGCGCTGCTTCTCTGCTGTCTGACATTTGAATAGCAAAGCAGCCTTCCAGTGACGCTGCATGGCTGAACTCCCACAGCTCGTAAACAAGGCCTTGTATGCTTCTCTCACAGAAAACGGCCCTGTGTACAATCCCCAGCTTGTTTCAAACTGTTACAGTACACTCATTGATAGTGTGCATGAACACAGTGGTGTGTAGTAAGGCATAAAACAGTCTTTATAGGGGCTTAATCTAGTACTTGATTTAACAAAATATCCATAGTTAGTGTGTACACATATGGAGAATTTGCTCCGGTATTTTGTTGTTCTCAATGTATCACAACAAAGCTGAATAAATACACGGGCTATTAAATGTATCTGTAAGCCTATATAAATATAAATAAATAAAACATACTGAAATGTGATCATTATTGTAGTGTTAATAGGGTTGCTGTGACTTGTCGTAACAAGTTTTTGGTAGAATAATGTGTTACTATGCCTTCATCAGCCATAATATACTTTAGCTCGTTGGTAATTTATTCACAGACATGTCCATTCATTTTATTTTATTTAAATGTCCATGTTGGACACACAGAAACAGACTCCAGCCATTGTCTCTCCAGTTAGAAATGTGTGTTGTATGTCTTTAGCCTCACAAATCTGTTTTTCTGCCAATTCATTTTGTTTTTGTATGTACTATTTTAATTAGATTATGTATATACATCACCAGGTTTATCTTTCAAATATGTGTTTCTAATCCAAACATATTGACATTAACAAGAGTTAATTATTCACTTTTACAGTGAAGGTTTGTTCTGGCACCCAAAATGGTCTGAGCACGACGGGAAATTCAGAGATTCAGTACAACCTGACGAAGGCTATTTACGACGGCTGTGAGATAGTGATGGGCAACCTGGAGATTACCATGATGGAGCACACCAGAGACTTCTCCTTCCTGCAGGTGAGGCTTTCAACTAGTGGTACACCGAGCCATCGACTTGGGCTGATTAATTTCCATTTTGAGGTCATCCGCTTTATTTACTGTATTTCTTTTTAAAACCAACCAAACCAACAACAGGAAATTACACTAACACTTAGTATTTATGTAAGTTTACCAATGTCCATTTTCTCTCAGAAACAAGGAGAAAATAATATATTTCTTTGCTGCATAAAAACAACAACAAGAAATGGGATTTTTAGAAGGCCATTAGCTCTTGTCATATAATTGGTCCTAGGAACCGGAACCAATTGTGTGTGTGCTCGTGTTCTCAGCGGAAAGGTAAACAGTTGTATAACCATGCCTCACACATGTGACGTTGCTAAATGGAGTTTGATTGTAAACGCTGTTGGAGTTTAATCGAAAAGAATCCAACTAACTAATAAACGGAAGGCCAAATGTGAACTTTTGTATCGGACATCAAACAAGGTAAACAAGGTCATCTGTGCGTAATTAACCACAGCAGTACAGCATCACCCGAGCGGCTAAAAGCAACCTTAAAGGCATCTTGTATCAGCGGCTGGCAAATGAATCAATAATAGATTCCAGAAAACCGCTGTCGAATAATACTTTGAGGCATCACTGCACGTTTGCAGACTTTCACAGATGTGTCACTGAGAAAAACTGCATGGTAACCAGTCTGGACAGGGATATGGATTAACGTGATGCCAAAATACTTCCCACATCTGAGTTGTTCATCTCCGTCCACAAGGGATGATGTCTTCGTCTCAAATGAACAATGAGCTCATTTATGTCCCCTTCCAAGTCCTTTTCTATTAATCTCTTTGATTAATCACTGCACCACCGTCATGGTGACTGAGAACACAAGAAAAACACACCTCTGCCGCCAAGTCGTGACTCTGATAACAATCACCATGACTAACAATCAGAGCAAAGGTTTTTGTTCTTCTCTTCTTTCTATTATAGTGTTTATCATTTACGCATCCTTAAATAGCCATTTCTGAAAACAATTACATTTATGATTTATTTTTGTTGAGTTGAAAACTTACATTATTCCCAATCATTCCAACATTGTTAGAGAAATCCATTATTTCATTCAAGGTAAAGGTCTGTTTTAATTTGCTGTATGTATCCCTCTCTCAATACATTTTTATCCAGTTTAAAGCCTCATGTTTATAATACATCTATTTTAAAATGTTGGCTGTTTTAACTGATATATATGTCTTAGCAAACACAAGGGGCCCTCAAACAGCATCAGAGAACACTTTCTGTTTCTTCTCTCTGTGATTTCACTGTGATTTTACTCGTTTTAACCACTGTGTGTTTGATTTGGAGAGGAGACATCTGCAGATAATTTGGCTACTGGTACAACCCTTCTGATTTATAAATATTCCTAGCAGAAGCTGACTGCAATGTGTGCCACCAAACTCTGCCTTACTTGTTGTTTTAATAGAGGAAAGGTCCAAATTATGTGTTTAATTTATCTTTCTTCATATTTGTTCCTCCCTGCAGTCTATCAGGGAAGTGACGGGCTACATCCTGGTCGCGGTCAATGAGTTCAACCACGTGCCTCTGAACCAGCTGCGGGTCATCAGAGGCAGCACGCTGTACGAGGGGAAATACGCCTTGGCTGTGATGGTGAACTACCAGAAGGATGGGCAGCACGGCCTGCAGGAGCTGGGCCTGACTCACCTCACAGGTACATAGGAAGTCACTCGGTGTGTGTGTTTAGGTGCTCGAGGCTGCAGGGCAGCAGGTGACTGGTGAAATTAATTCGGCCACCTGTGTGTGAGTGTGGGTAAACAAAAACATGTCTCACTGAGTTCAGAAAAAACAAAGAGTGCACTGATTCATGATGAATGATGTTAAAAGGTCAGTTTAACCAAAAAACACTGTTGCCTCTGGTATCCAGCATTGCTTGCAGGTTTGGAAACATTGGTCTTGTCCACTGTCCCAAAGAAAATTAGATGAATGGAATTGTGTTAGTGATGCTCTAAGATTTAAAAAAATGACATCTGACAAAAACTAAACAGTGTCCTCACTACTATGTTAATCCACATATCTCGCTGCAAACACCTTACACCTTGGAATCATTTTGTAAGCATTTTCTAGATAAAATATTCTTTGAATGAAAATTGTTAACACTGCATTACGTTTATCATTCTAGACCAGGACACACAATAACAGATTATCGTGACCAAATAGCAATATTATCGTGGTATATCTCGAAAGTTTGGGAAATAAAAAAAGATAATTGAATAAAGATATCATTCAAATATCAAATTTATCTTTTACTTTTAATTAATTTGTGCATTTTGTCTCTTTTATGTGCAGTTATTTGCACACAAAACACAAGTATAGATGAATAAAAGCAAAATGATCAACATATGGGAAGTAAAAATATATGTTGGTGTGTTTAAGTGTGGGTGCATGCAGGAGTTGAGATAAGGAGGTATTCCTGGTGACTGTTGGAGCTCACACACCTACACACTGCAGCCACACCTTCAGGAGGGCGGGGGGGCTGCAGCAGCGGTGTGTGTAGGTGATGTGAAGTCCCAGGAATGTCTCAACTGCCACTGTAACATGAGCGCATTTCATGTATGAACTGTAGTAAGGGATGAGTCATGGGCTCGCCCGGGCTTGCTCTGCTAATTGTCTTTTTGCCATTTAAATGTTTGTGTTCCGCCCACAGAGATACTGGAGGGAGGAGTCAAAATCATCCAGAACAAGTACCTGAGCTACGTCAAGCAGGTCAACTGGCTAGACATCGTGAAGGATGCAAAAGCTGAGATTCTGATCAAGGGCAACGGGCCTAAAAGTGAGTAGAAAGGGTGACAATGAGACATATTACCTTACATTTTTATGTTTTATCTCTAGGAGTTACGCTTTGGTCTACTTTGCAATGTTAACATGCATCTACTGCAGAAAGGCTGTCACAAGGAAGAGGCTAAAATGAGAGCCACACACTACTGATGATAGGTAGTAATAACATATAGAAAGGTCATTACTTTATCCCAAAGTCTGACAGAATAGATAGATTAATTGAGTGAGAATATAATGTTATTTAAAAAAAAGTGTTATCCCATCTCACAGCTCACTCATTATTCCTTTTTGATTTGTTTTAATATCTAAGATGAAAGTTTCCCAGGTTAAATTGTAAATAATTAAAGCCTCTTGTTGACCCAGACTATAAATAATGCATAATGCTTTATTAATCTACTTGCAGAAATACTGAAACTGATGAATGTGCTACATTTGTTTTTTCTTAGAGCCTTGCAACGCGGCATGTGGAGACCTTCCATGTTGGGATGCAAGAAATGACACATGCCAGATCTGTGAGTGAAATCGTCATCACTTTATTTCCCAAGCAACAAGCAGTTCTGTAGTGTGCGGGTTTTCAAGCATTTCAATCAACTTTTAGAGAACTTCATGTTTATTGAATCAAGAGAGAATAATAAATACTCAATGGAATCCCCTTGTTTAAACCCATGTTGAATAGAAATGTGTTAGATATTTTGTGTAAGGAAAATAGATTTCTTTATGCACTGGGCATTTTTGAGATTTCGGAGGAAAGAGAATATAAAAAGAAAAAAAAATGTAACCACTGCTGCAATAAATTAACAAATGCTCGTACACTCTCTGTTTCAGTGACCAAGACCGTGTGCGCGCCTCAGTGTAACGGCCGATGCTTTGGTATTAACCCGAGCGAATGCTGTCACATCGAGTGTGCGGGAGGCTGCACAGGATCTCTGGATACAGAGTGCTTTGTGAGTTTGCTGCTTAAAGGCCTTTTTACACAGGGCACATTTCGACATGTCACAATAAGAAAAAGAGGATCTCATGATTTGACCTTAAGGGGTATACTGTATGTATATGAGGTCCTAAAGCAACTGCTCCGTTATCTGTATCAAACGCACACATTGATGCCACCAACTGAAACAATAAAAATAGAAAGTAGGCTACTACAAATAAACTGGAATTAATATATATAAATATAAATTATTAATATATACACAAAAAAAGATAAGGTACATATATACAACCTTCAAATTGCTTTTTTAAATCAACATTGCTCTGCACACTTGCTAAAGAACATTTGTGTGGACATCTCAGTTCATTTGTAGTGCTGCGCGAGTATGACCAAAAGTATGTGAGTAAATCTCACTGTAGACTATTTAATCATCACCAAACTCGGTGTCATTGTGAGCGATCATTACTCAGCTTTATGCACACACATACATTTAGCATGGTTTAAGAAACAGGCTCGGTGTTACAAAATGGGTCGAGGGGTTTGGCGGCACCGCTGCAGACTCTCTGCACGGAGGAGCAGCGGAGGGGCCCGGGCGGTGCTGCCGTTCCTGATCGGAGCAGAGACACACGTTCACTAAGCTGAAAAACTATATCTGTAACAGAGATTTGCTATTTTAAAGTAAAGTCAACACATATCGACTCTAAATATAGTCTATATTAAGAACGAGAAACGTTTTTAACATATAAATATATATTTTTTTAAACATATGACAAATGTGCGAGGGTGATCATGTCAGAACATCCTCCTATGTGCCGGGGCTGAGCCCCGGACAGCCCCGGCCCAATTTAACCCCTTGACATAAGCACCTGGAGTATGAGCTGTGTTGCTGACTTTGCTCTCTGTGTGACGTTTGCAGGCCTGCAGGAACTTCAACAACTCGGTTGCCTGCGTGCCTCTCTGTCCGCAGACCCTCATCTACAACAAGCACACATTCAAACTGGAGCCCAACCCCAACGCCAAGTACCAGTATGGCTCCATCTGCGTGGCCCAGTGCCCCCGTGAGTCCACACACTCATAGTCACACACACTCGCAGGTCAAAGTTGATGGTTCCCCAGATGCTTTTGTATACATATTTTATTAGTTAAAGAAAATGTGTTAAGATTTGTTTACAGTTTTTGAAGTGGCAGGTAATCTGTTTCCCCAGTAGATTATGGATGATGATTGATTCTTCTTTTTCTTAAGTATTCACATATTATCTATAGAATAAGCCTGTCATTGGCAGACCATCTATTTGTATTGTCTATATATGTTTTGAGTTAGGGGACTGCTAAATAATAATTTCTTTCTACCCTTGCTGCCACTTTCCTGCCCTTTAATGTTTAAATAGTTGTATTTTGACTGTGAACAAATATAAAACAAATGAAATACTACTTGTATATTACCCTGGTCATATATGTTTGAGTCACTTGTTTGAGACTTACCTTGTTTCTTTTGCACAGCTAACTTCGTGGTGGATGAAAGCTCATGTGTGAGCAGTTGCCCTTCTGATAAAATGGAGGTGGAGAAAAACGGATTTAAAAGATGTGAACCCTGCGGAGGCCTCTGTCCAAAAGGTGTTTAAGACAACTGAACAGTCCATTTCCAATACATGGATTAATATATATATATATATATATATATATGTATATTTGCTAGTAAAAACTCTACAGTAATATAAATTATTATGTGTAAGCAGCATGTCTAGCTGCTAAATGTTGAGCTGATTTGAGCTACTTTACTGTGCAGTTGGCTAGTTAAAGCTGCAAAAAGATTCATCAGATTTGTTTGTTGCTCATGTATTTTGTGTGTAATATCTTTAACGTTGAACAGTAGTAAATTGACTATCTGCTGGAGGTTTCTCACTGACATTGCTTCTTTATCCTCCTCTCAGCTTGCATTGGCACAGGAAAAGAAAATATGCAGACGGTAGATGCTCAGAACATCGACAGCTTCATAAACTGCACCAAGATCCAGGGCAGCCTTCACTTCCTGGTGACTGGGATCAAAGGGTAAACTTATAAGTACTTCTCATTCCTTTTTATAAAATAAAACAAAGCTTTTGAGGTATTTAGTAGGTCAAAACTATTTTTTTTCCTTCTTTGTTGCTGCCTTTGCAATAATTTTCTCAACTTTTTTTCTATAGTGATGCATATAACAATGTACCAGCCCTCGATCCAGAGAAACTGAAGATCTTCAACACTGTGAGGGAGATCACAGGTGTGTGTGTGTGTGTGTGTGTGTGTGTGTGTGTGTGTGTGTGTGTGTGTGTGTGTGTGTGTGTGTAAACTGTCACTGTATTTTTACATTATGTCACGTCACAGTGTTTGTAATCTGGAACAACACTGTTTTTATTTTCAGACATCCTCAGTATCCAGTCGTGGCCTAAAAGCATGTCCGACCTGTCTGTCTTCTCCAACCTACAATCCATTCAGGGCAGAACTCTGTTCAAGTGAGCCTGTTGTTTTTATTTTTGTTCTAACAATGGTTTTGCTTTGTGAGTCATGTTACTATTTTGTTGTTGTATTTCTCATTGCATTGCAGACTCAACGTTCACTGACATACTTCTGATTGTCTTGTATTTATTTGTTTTCTTGTTGTGCCTCTGTTTTACCGCGTGTAGAGGAGTGAGCAAAAGGTACAGTTATTATTTCACATGCCTGCCTCTAGCCATGCGCAATATTTCTATTTCAAATGACTTTTCTTGGTTTAAGAAATTATTAAACCATAATATTCATGAGCATTTTTGGTACTGGGTATCAGGTGGTGGGGACAACTCTTAAAATGTTCTCCTGGTTTTCACGCATGCTCTTTCTTTTGAAAATCATCTGGTGTTTGGCTGGAAAATGTGGGTGTCTGCTGGTTGTATTCTATGGAGTCAAAGAAAGGCCCTAACAATTGGAACCTTTTAAGCAACTGAACACGTTATTGCTATGCTTAATAACTTTTATGTTTAAGCATTTCAATATTTTATTCTAGAACAAATAGCTTGAACAATTAGCAATTTAAACACAATGATTGTGTCCATAATGATTCATAATACTCGTATTATTCTTATAATAATTATAGAAAAACTGCTTATTCAAATTCAAAATCTGTTTCTATGCTTCCATAGTTTTTAAAGCAATATAAAAACATTGGCATTATTATTCTCTTACCCAGCATTTATTCACTCCTCACTTTTTCAGGGGCTACTCTCTCCTGGTGATGAAAATCGGCTCTTTGACCTCCCTGGGGTTACGTTCGCTGCAAATAATAAACGACGGCGGCGTCTACATCACAGGAAACACGAAGCTCTGCTATCACCACACCGTTAACTGGACGCGTATCTTGAACAGCGGCTCTCGCCCACGGAATAAACAAATCGACGTCAAGGACAACAGACCGAGAGATCGGTGTGGTGAGTGAGGAGGGATCTTTTCATACCCCAAAAAAGTTTTGTTTTTTTAAAGTACACAGTGTCATTAATATGATATGGTGTATTATGGAGGTGTGTGGCGTGGCGGGTTGTCTGTAGGTGTTCGGATCAGGGGAGCATAGGTTCAAACCCCACTGCATGTCGTTGTGTCCCTGAGACACTTCACCCCAAATTCCTCCTGTGGGGATTGTCCACAGTATTGAGTATGTAAGTCAACAAGTAACATGTAATGTAATGTCAGATTAATTTCTGTAAATAACAACAAAACATATTGTAAATATTATATAAATTATGAAATAGATACATTTAAAATATAATGCATTGAAAATGAGAACACAATAATAACAAAGGGGAAACAAGTGAGCAATGATTTATATCATCTCTTTTTAAGATGAATGTTTTTTTAAATTAATATTCTGACTATAGAAGAGTAGAGTATGCGATACATGATGATCGAATGTTATATAATCTTCAGGTTGAATACCAAAGATAGTTGAGCGGGGTTTGGATTCAATATGGTTTTCAAGTATTTGAGTAAAAACATTGAATATGAATCTCGAGCTTTGGAACGGGGTGAATCAGTTTCAGTTTTTGTTAGAGAATGTTATTTATTTGTAGGCTATATGCTTTTAAAACAACCAACAACATATCACATAGTGAAACACACAAAACATAGGAAACTACTTAAACTATTAAATACAATTAGAAAAGGATAGTTGACACCAGTTACGTTGTCAGTGTTGATGATGATACTCTCCTTTTTGTTGTTGTCTGTAGTGAGTGAGGGCCATGTGTGCGACCCCCTGTGCTCCTCTGATGGCTGCTGGGCCCCGGGGCCAAACCAGTGTCTGTCCTGAAAGAAGTACAGTCAGGGAGGAACGTGCGTGCCAGATTGCATGTTCCTGACTGGATCAGTCTTTAAAGAATAATTAATCAAATGAATAATAAAAGCCATAGTGTTTGTCTTAATGTGAGTAATGTTTGCTGTGGCGGAGCCG